ATGAATATTGCTTGCAGGTAGAAGCTTTTATACATATTAAAAAAAAAAAGAGGAATACCTATCCTAAAAGCAACAAATACCAATTATTACTAAGTAAAGATACACACGTAACTATACTAACCTCCCATATAATGTGCACCACGTCTTTGATGTTCAGTCACGTCGTCGAAACGAACAAAGGCGTGGTATAATATATAAATCAGATATTTTCGAAGTCAGTTCCAGCCGATGCAAAGCAAATCTAATATACTTCGATACATAAAATTCATATTTACGTATTAGATATTCATATCTTAAAATATTGTCGGCTGGCACCGACTTCGAAAATATCTAATTAGGTATCTATTCTAAATGAAAACCTCCGTTTAGTTATTTTTTACATTTTAGTGCCTGGAAGTCGGTTTCTTTTAAATAAATAGTTTTTTATACTACACCCTTGTTCGCTTCCGCTCTATGGGGTACATTGCCTACAATTGGTCTTTCTTGTTCACCCTCCGATCATAATATTGTAATCTAATAAGGCCTGTTTTAAGCAATTTTGGTGCAGCTACAATAAACATAAAATGCAACATGATACTAGTTTAAGAGATGCAAAAAAACTTATTTTTTACCCGACTGCGCGACGCAGAGGAGGGTAATGTGTTTATCAGTCTATGTATGTATGTACATATGTATGTATGACACTCTAGAGACCAAACGCGTGGGCCGATTTCTATGATTCATATGTCGTTAGTTTCGTATTTACGCGAGTGTCATAAGCTATATATAGCCTATAATACTCACGGTATAGTTAAAAATAGTTAAAAAGTAAAATGGCGGATATCAGGCGCCAATTTGTGTGTCTGTAAAAAAATCTTCCAAATCAATCGAATGGGGTCTCAAAATAAAGATTTTTGGTGATCACAAAAAAATTTAAGAGAACACAACTGTTCCTACGTCACATCGGATCACGCCACCGGCTCGTGATCGAACCGGTTTCGCGACGGTCACTCCTGCGACGCGCCGAGCCCTCTAAACGCCCGGGACTCGCTCACCACCTCTCGCCGTGTGCACACGTACGGTCGTCTCAAGAAATCAACAGCGATAATACAGTCCATATTACCACGAAACGCATTTTTATTTAGTCAAGACCACCAGCATCACATCTGGAGCTTGGCATTCAACAACAACTTACATGTTTAAAGGTAATTTGTGACAAGAAATTGTTAAATATTAAGTCTTTACCTATGAAATTGTCGTTTAATATACAGTATAATATATATATGTAATAAAAAACAAAAATGGAAAGGAAAGGCCAGTATTTGTAAATAATTGGCAGAAGTTCGATATTTCAAAGAACAGGAAAAAACTGAAGAACATTCATATTTCAGAAGATTATCCGAAAGAAGTCTTAGATAAGAGGAAGGAATTACAACCAAAACTTCTAGAAGAAAGAAAGAATGGAAATTATGCTGTCCTGAACTATGATAAGCTAGTAGTAAAAAAGGGACCAATCGGAAATGAAAAACGGAAGAGAGATCAGTCAACTTCGCCTGCTACAATAAACCAACCAAAGAAACAAAATGCTACCACTAAAACGAACAGGTTAAACGCATTTGACATGATGAGAGGGAGAAGTAACTCTTTTTCAACTCCTTCCTCAAGCTAAAAGAAACAATAGCAAATATCCATCAGCCACCGGAATAACACAACATACAAACCTAAACTAAATTATAACAGTAAAACATTTCCCAAGCCGATTGGTCATCGTGGGAAATTAGACCACTACCCTCCAGCTGTAAGTAAAGAACTCGAACTTGATTTGAATAACTCAACGACGTTAAATATTTGTAGTTACAACGTAAGGTCCTTATCAAGCATAGAGAGATATTTTGAACTCACGTATGCACTGAAGAATATAAAATGTGACATTTTAGGGCTGTCAGAAGTTAAAAAATTAGGCTTTAACATTGAAGAATACCATGACTATATCCTGTGTTATATTGGCCAAACAAAAGGGCTCCATGGAATTGGGTTCCTTATCACCAAAAAATACAAAACTAATATAATAAACTTTACAGGAATATCCGAGAGAGTAGCCCTTTTGCAACTTCAATTCGGTGAACTTCCTATATCACTAATTCAAGTCTATGCACCGACAGAAAGGTCGAGTGAAGATGACCTCAACCGTTTTTACCATGATATAGACAAAGCACATTCTTTAACTGACGACAAAATAATAATAGTATTAGGAGACTTTAACTCTAAAATAGGACATCCTAGGAAAGAAGAATACTTCGTTATGGGAAAGCATGGATACGGAGAACGTAATGACAGAGGTGAAAGATTAATAGATTATGCGTTAGAGCACAAACTGTCAGTAATTAATACTTTCTTTAAAAAAAGGAACTCTCGAAAATGGACATGGATATCACCTGATAATAATACCAAGAACGAAATCAATTTCATAATGACAAACAGCCCCAAACTATTTACAATTTTGAGGTAATTAACACTTGCTTCCCTTCGGATCACAAACTTATAAGAGACTACTAATAAAAAGACGCAGTGAACTCGTACAGACAAAAAATAAAAGTATAGATATGAAAAAAAAATTAGCAAGAGTATACAAAGAAACAAATAAATCAATTCGGAAAGACTACCAAACACATAGACAAAAAGTAATAATAAGAAACTTAAATAAATATAGGAGTACAAAAAGAGCGTTTATGGAGCTAAGTATCCAGAAATCTTGGATACAAAAACTTAAACTCAAACAACAATCAGAGGAAACCAAAACAAGAAAAGATGTAATCAGACACGCAACAAACTTTTTACAAAGATTTGTATCGTAGAAGAAATAACGATCAGATATTTGAACTTACAGATAATAATAACTGGGAACCAGAAGTAAGCTCTGTTAAACCAATAGAAAAAGAAGAGGTGTACGAACAAATAAAACAGCTAAAAAATGACAAAAGCCCTGGCCCGGATGGGCTCAGCAACGAAGTTCTTAAACTAGGGGCGCCAATTCTCGTCCATTACCTTACACAACTATTTAATATGGTACTAAATACAGAGACTGTACCGCTACAATGGTGCAAATCCGACATCATATTGCTGTTTAAGAAAGGCGATCCATTAGACATAGGAAATTACAGACCAATCAGTCTTTTAACAAATGTGTATAAACTCTTTTCTTCTATAATATTAAAACGAATAACTCATTGATAGCTCACAACCTATAGAACAAGCAGGCTTTCGCTCAGGGTTTAGTACTACCGACCACATTCAGGTTATAGAACAGGTTATAGAGAAATACCGTGAGTTCAACAGACCACTATACATGGCTTTTATAGACTATAGCAAGGCTTTCGATAGTATAAGTCACCATTCAATTTGGAACGCCTTGAAAATATTCGGACTAGATCAAAAATATATAAACATATTGACATATATTTACGAGAATAGTCAAAGCTGTGTAAAACTTGAAACTAGAGGAACACTCATTGTTATAGAAATAGGTGTTAGACAAGGTGACCCCCTATCACCTAAATTATTTATTGCTGTCCTCGAGAACATTTTTCTGAATATAGACTGGTCACAAAAAGGTATAAAAATATGTGGTCGTTACTTAAACCATCTAAGGTTTGCTGATGATATAGTACTACTAGCTGAAACACCTAAGGACTTAGAGGACATGATGCAATTACTTGACAAAGAAAGTACAAAAGTCGGCTTAGAAATGAATGCCAGCAAGACTAAAGTAATGACCAACAGCGTTAAAAAACCTATTAAAGTAAGAGGAAATATCATAGACTATGTCGAATATTACATTTATTTAGGAAAACAAGTTTCTTTTAGTAAAACTAATAATGAGGAAGAAGTTGCAAGAAGAATAGCTATTGCGTGGAAGAGATTTTGGTCATTAAAAGAAATTTTAAAACGTAACTACAGTTTACTTATGAAGAAAGTCGTAATGGACACATGTGTGCTTCCAAGTCTATTATACAGCTGCCAAAATTGGACCTTTACAGAAAAAGTTAAACACAAGATAAGGAGCAATCAAAGAGCAATGGAAAGAAGTATTTTAAGGATAAGGAAAGTACAGAAAATAAGAAGCGACATAATCAGACAGAAAACTAAGATTACTGATGCACTTACACATGCACTGACATTAAAGTGGAGTTGGGCTGGTCACATTTCACGATACTCTGATAAAAGGTGGATGGAAGGGACCAATGGCGGGGAAAAGAAAGGTAGGAAGACCTATAAAACGGTGGACTGATGAGATAAAGAAAGTGGCAGGAGAACAATGGATGAAGATTGGCAAAGATAAAAAAGCGTGGAAGGAACTGGCGGAGGCCTTCACCCAAACAGGGATCCATATCTCGGAACAAATAAAAAAGAATAATCATACTAACAACCTAGATTTAGCAAACATACTATCAAAAACTAACAACTTTTGAATGTAACTTTTAAGATATGAAATAAATGTGGCCTAATTATTATTATTATATATTATCTATAGATTAAAAAAGGAAATCGCTATCGGTCACGAACCCTTTAATATCTTTTAATTTATCTATTAGACTTTTTTATCTTACGAAATGGAATAATTATTCTATTTTTTATTTTAAAATATATACAAATATATTGTGTGTATGTTTGTGACATGGCAACAAGTCAGTAATATACTCTTTTCAATCTTACTTCCTAGGTTTTTTTGCAACGCTAAAACATTTATCGTTGCCTTCTTGAAATACCTATTTAAGATAAGTAGTTAAATACAAAGTTGCATATCAGTTAAGGTAATTACAATCGTTGTTTTTGCACTCAGTACATTTTAATTTATAAATCTGAATACTTTGTATGCATTTTAAATTTAATGTCATTTCCAAGATGACTGCAATTACTGACAAGATAAAGTGTGTAAGGATAGATAAAATTTATAGAGATCCTTATTACTAACAGTTATTGAGATAACGTATTTGAAGTGAGCATTAAAAATGTGTACTGACCGGTTCAAGCAAGCTCTGCTCATGTAATGTGACCAAAGGTTTTTCTGGTTTCGGTCGAGTGCTGAGGTAGAAGGCAGAAGCAGCTGCCACACCTGTGAGCGCCAAAGCGCCAGCTGACCCTCCGACCATCCATAGATACTGGTCTATTTCACTCACTGAAACAAATGTTTAATTTTTTTATTACACCATATTGAAACTTTCTTAGATTTACGCGAATATTTGACATTAAAAAAAAAACTTTTCGTATTTTTTTACTGACTTAGGTCATCATGGTCGTGGAAGAGTCTCTAACATGACCTAGATTGCTGTAAAGCTAAAAATCAAAATAAATTCGCGAAAAAAAACCAAAAAGATAGTTTTTTTATACTTTTTACGGTCCATTCATTATGATATTTAAAAGTAATTAAAGGAAACGAATAATAATTTTTAACCAATGACATAAGTTCATCAAGAAGTAAAAATAATCTGGATCCGTTTGAGTTAGCTATTATTAGAATACTGACGCATATTCCTCTTAGTAACAATATACCGACGATATTATTTTAAAATTATAAATCAGCACGACATGTTGGCAAGTCCAAAAAGGGAGATACGTTAATGACAGTACTCATTAAGAATTACTAAAAGACTTCAAAGTTGTATGTACTTTCAATAATGATCATCTTATACGACCTCAGCTGTCAATCGCGATATTGCTATTATATATATATATATATATATATATATATATATATATGTTTAATATGAAAAATATTCAGAGTTTATCTACGCTTTTTATTTTTAATAATATCATACACATAAATAAAAACGTTATCTTGAAATCGCAAATGGCGTCAATTGCAATACGGAAGACAAAACTGCGAAGGAAAGTACTTAACTTTATTATTTATATTACCTCAAGTACATACAAAACACTCGTTTACAATTATTAGTAGGAATTTGTATTATTTCCCTATATCACTGCTTTTTCACAGAGAATAAAATGACCAGTTTTAATATCAGGCGAAATATAAACGTCAAAAGTTACGATGCAAAGTGTTTTGTATAAAAACAGTAGAGAAATCAAACCGCCGTAGTTTATAAGGAAGAGTAAATAACAACTGAACAAGCCATTTTTTGTTAGTAAATGTAAATTTTGAAGCGTTCTATCGAAGCGCTACTAAAACGATAATAGCATACACAAATTGCAAGCAAAATACAAGATTACTTATGATTATTTCCAGACGAGGAAATGTCTAAGACAACTTTCATGTAGTCTTTACCAGTTCCTGAACCATAAACTGAGAGTGCAGCTAGTTTAGAAAGTGGGCACTGGGGTGCAAGCGCCGGCGTCGTGTTTGAGAGTAGATTTCACGGGATTCTCTCGCGCTTTCCACTGACACACTTTTAACGTCGCTCGTCGTAAATAAAGATGAAGTGCAATAAACAGACATGAATCAAACGAGTGAGATACTTTCGTTATTATAAACTATTTCCGGTTGTTTAATAAGTAATGGGTACATTTACTAAATGTTTTGTATATTAAATTAAATTTAAAAATATAAATTTTATCTTAATACTATCTGAACCGATAGATATTGATCTATACCAATTTCAAATATTTTTTTATGATATTTGATGTCATCAAAACTCTATAAAAAAAACTTTCAATTTCCCCCGAATTTGCCTGGCAACTTTTTCATTTTTCCTCCTAAAAACCTCATTCGGACAGTTATGTTTATACAATTATTATTATGAATATTTACAAAAAAAATGCCAAATCGGTGCAATCATTCATGATGCGCTCACCAACCAATAGCGTTTTATTTTTATTATATAGAAAATTGTTATGTCATCAAAAAAACTAATATGTGAAGTAAATATTTTTATTAACAACTACATTACATTTAAATAAATTATTACTCAGTACCCAACATTTGTCAATACATACATATATGGTAATACGTTTATTATTTGTGACCAGTTAATTAATAACTCAATAATCGATTGCTTTTTTAAGTTGGGCATCATATAAATTTAACGATCGATATTTCCTTCCGATTTAGAGTACCTACGAGCAAAAATTAATGTTGTAACACAAAATATATGTCGTTCTGTTTGTTATTTATTAGAAGGGCTTACATATAATTTGGAGGCGACATTTAAGGTCACGTCGCTAACCTCGATTATTTGTCGTTGAATAACAGGAGGTACCTGCTTCGTTGATTTCAAAAGTTCAAACCTTGGTGCTCTAATTTTCCCTTCATTGTAAATTCAAAGAGCGTAACAAACTTGACGGCCCTTCAAGGGCTAGTTGATCTTGCAATAATACGAACAAGTAACCTTTTATTTTTAATTCAATAAATAGTATAAATAATCACGACGATAAGAGCCTTTGAATTACAGTGATCACATTCATAAATATATTAAAGTTTTACGATGTAGACGGGATCTATCTAAATGAACAGATAGCACGTCGTAATGAATATTATACTTAAATGGTAAAACGTTAATATTGAAAATTGATTCATAAATATTCTATGATTACAAAAGTATTACAGGTAATTTAAAAAATAATAATATTGAAAATAAACATCACTTGTAGTTTATACTCACAACTATTGCATTGGTTCCACCAAATGGTCTTCTCCTTCGTGTTGGATTCAGTCTTCTGTTTATCAGTCTTCTTTAGTTTTTTCTGTAATTTCCGACATTTTTCCTTAACACTAAACTCAGTCTTTTTAGCCTCTGTCACGTTCACTTTGTCTTTTTTTAAATTAAGCCCAAATTTTCCGCTTCCCATTTTATTATTGTTGTTGCACATATTAATTATAAAATGGTCACTTTGTTTGTCGAATTAGCATTTTTCACCTTTTTACATGTCTCGATTCGGCTAAATTATTAAAAACCTTTTAATTAATATCATTACAGTCTATAATTTAAACACGTTCGCGCTGGTTTGTCGTAAAGATATACAGTATCGATTATTTTGTTGTGGAATGAAACGGAATCCATAAAACTAAAAGGTTTTATAGATTCATTTCGTGGGGGCCTTTGGCCTTGTGAGGGTCATTAACACGGCTCAGTCGATATCTGAAACTAATCTAGCTCCTGATTTCATTGGTTAGCTTTCTTATCTACCTTATAAAATTACGTATGTATTTTTAAAAGAGTGGACGATTAGTTTTTTTTATCTTATGCCATTGTATGCTTATAGCAGCTTAATAATACGAGTTTTATGTAAAGAAACTCGCGCGCAGAGGTTTTTATTAACGTTTTACTTAAAATATGTGATAAATAATGCAGGTACACAAAATCATTAAAAATTAATAACATATAATAAAAAAAAGCTATTTAAGAATATAAACAAAAGCAACTCATGGAATAAGTATAATGAACTATGGAACAGAATAAGGCTCCCGACGTTAATAATTGACGCCTCAATTATATAGTAAAGAGCAATGATATATTACCAGATTGTATTTAAATGTTTATGGCCATTTAAATTAGCTCAGAGTAACTGGAAGGATATTTTTATCCGCATTTCCAATTATACAGGCAGAAGCAAAACAGTAAAGACTTTTTATAAGAGAGGGTATTTTTTAAGTTATATTTCTTTTGGCGAGCTATTGAAAAAATGATGCAAGTGATTTTTTAACGATGCGACAGATTTAGACTGTAGTATGAAGTTAGTCGTTATTAGACTAGTATGAAGTTAGTCGTTAAATTTCCCTTTAGTGTGAAGTGCAAGTTATATTTGACCCACTTCCCAATGTTTGAGTGAGCTGAAATTTGGTGCACACGTTTGGTTCTCATGACGATGCACGATTATATAAATGCCGCCATTTTTAATCCAATATGGCGGAAGTTACAAAATGGCGATTTATCATTTCCATAGTGAAACTTATGACATGGGCATCAAATGAAAGGGCTTGATGAGCGAAACACAATTAGCAAAGTGCCGTCAATGTAAATCTAATATGGCGGACTCTCAAAGATGGCGAACTGCTTTTTATGTAGCCCATGATATGGATATCAAGTGGAAGGGTTTGATGAGCGAAACACAATAAGCAAAGTGACGTCATTGTAAATTTAAATGGTAAATTAGCGTTTGGCAACCCAGCCGGGCGCGAAACCAAGAGAAACATAACATAGGGAGGTGGCCCATTTTGGTGGGCGGTGTACCATGAGGGTTGCTCCTGGTGAGAGCAACCCCTTGGCTGTGGCTGCTTCGGCAAGCCTGCCTTTGAGGCATCATAGTTGAGTGCGTAAGCGATCCTGCGACGGCTCATTACGACGGTGGGAGGTTCTGTTAGATTTTAGTGGGTGGTATGCGTATGCATTTCCTAACATAAAAAAAGGTAAGAAGTTACTTCGCTTTATCGCCGTCTAGTGGACGAGTTGCAGTAAAACAGCACTAAACCTTGTCCATATAAAAACAAATATATCATATCTCCAAAACAACTTTGCAGTTCTGGTAAACAAAAATTTTATGAAGATTGCATTCCATAAATACAACATGCTTAAATAACAAAACTTTTCAATCTCATCATGCAAATCGATGCACGCAATGCAATGAACCGTAAATTATTAGATACACCAATGACAAGCTATTGAAATCTAACAATGGATTATAATCCTAGGGCTGTATGCGGTGTGCGATTGTGACCCAATAGTTCGAAAGCACCATAGTGGGTGTAAATACACATTATACATCGATATGATCAAACGCTATGATTACTGCCGCGAATGACGTCCGGCTGCAATAACAACAAATCCTAACAACAAAGGACTTAGCTTGGAAGTTAGAACTGTTCACAATATTTCAATTTTATTGTATTTTAGTTTAATTTATTACTCGCCAATATACGTCCTAGGTTTGTTTTGAAAATATTTCATAACGCAAAATTCGTGTTTAGGCAGTGTTCTAAATTTCTACATACATATGTGCCAAATAGAAGTATAGGTGTTTGAATGTGTCTAATATTTTCTTAATGATTTTCTCATGTTTTGTCAGACATAATGAGCAAAACTTGTAATTTACATCTAACAGTAATTTACGCTATCGAAATATATCGCTTAACGGTGTATCTGGTATTTGGATCTGGTTCACAAAACAATAAAATCATATAGACCATTTCGCGGGAACTCGTTCTACCGTAACGTTAATGTCATCAGCCTTACGTTAAAATGTATATCACGGGAAATTTTGCTCTTCGCAATTTTATAAAGAAATATTTAATAGTGTCTTAGATTTACGCGAATATTTGACACATTAAACTATCCTTACTATATTTTTTTTGCAGATTTTAATTTAAATTAAAATGTCGTATAATATTTTTTTTTCATATTTATAAAAAATATTTTGTATTATTTTGTTGGTAGTTGTCTATAGCAACTATAAAATGACGACACATTAGTCTCTCCCGTGACCATGTTTGCTATAAAGTATAAAGCATTCGAAACGTTGGGAATCGAAAATTAAAACAAATCCACGAAAAAAAAACCGAAAAGATAATATTATTTAAAACAAAAATATTCGAAAGTTTAATGAGATGAATACTTGTGTGCTACTACCATAGCAGTTTGCGATAGTCTAATATCTATCCCATGGAACTTCATGTGCCTGGACAACAAGAAGCCTCTGAAATATAAACTATAAGCTATGTTTGTGAAAAAATTGTCCATTAATGGTTGCTGTGTTTCGTGGAAGAAGACGTTTGTCCTTCTTTCTCATACACCATATAAATGCGAACCATTATAATAATACGGGTATAACGGCTATACTTAACTAGTGTTTGTCCGTGGCTCCGTTCAAGTAGTTTATTTATGTATATAGTATAATTACTCTGATCCTAAGGCTCATAGCGTGATTTTAGATATCGTTCTGTGTCTGTCTATATCCTTCCTCAATAAATATTTTAAATCAAAATATTTCAAAGTATTTCAAATTGGACTAACGGCTCCAGAAGGTAGCGCACCCAAATAAACAGCCAACAAAAACACATCAGCTTTTTAAATTATTCATTTCCAATAATGATAACAAATTAAATAACGACCTAATAATCACGAACAAACAAGTTCTTATTAAGATTAATTCGCGGCCACTTCATAATTTGATGTAAACTATATTTTTTTTTTATTTTACGACTCGCGTCTCCGTGTGCTGTGGAACTTGGTGCATAAATTTTGACACAGTTTCCGAACGGCTAGTTGCTATGAGGTCGACGAACTGCGCTATGTTTTGATATAGTCGTCAATTCACCATCTGCCAATTTTTTTACCAAAAGTACCGCGGTTACAGTTAAGAGCCGCGCGCCGGCTTCACGGACCGTTTTAATTACTTCATAGTCGTAGTATAATATTTACAGTTAACGGAAAGTGATAGACGGATGAAATGAGATTTTGGACCGTTTTGATTGTTACTGGCGACGAAATGCGAGAAGATCTGTCGCGATTGGAGACAAATAAAAAACGGAATGTTGTAACTGTTGGGAACACTAGTTTATTGTATAAATATGGATGGTTGTTAGTTAACCTGAGATATATAATTTTAAGCAATCGTCTTAGCGACGGCCAGGAGAGCGTCTGTGTTGCCATGATGGCGGAAACGGTACAGATTTACACAGATTATAAAACCATATAAATTAAGTGAGTGACGTTCGAAAACTTATGAAATCTAAATTATTTTATATTACATAAATTATTATTATGTTAATATTGTATATTAATAATAATTATACACTACACCACCCCCCCACGGAGAAAGTAACCGCAGGCAAAAGAACATTTAAAGAGAATGTGTCTCACAAATTATAAAATAATTAACAAGGAAATGGAAGAAAAAAATTTTTTTTATTACAAATCCAAAATTTGTTTAAATCGTACCCTACGACCGGATCTAGTAACCATAGGAGATTTTAGCTCAGGTAGCGCTTGATTTGATGTGCTCGTCGTTGACTGAGATGATGTTGGAGCAGTTCCGATTTGAGTTGTTCTTTGTGAGATTGGGCTGGAAGGTTCTGAATTTTCAAGGTAAGCAGGCTTCACTCTATCGAGGCTGACTACTACTTCCTTTCCTTTTTTATTTATTGTTATCGTCTTGTCTTTACGTCGAATAACTGGAAACGGACCAATATACGGCGGACTAAGAGAACTTCTAACAGAATCATCGCGAACGAAGACGTGTGATGCAGTTGTGAGCTCTTTAAATATAAATGTAGACGTGTTTGACCTCCCTAGATGTCGGGATGCTGCTTTAGGTCGCAACTTCGACATATCCAATCTTAAACGTGTAACAAAGTCGTTTGTGTCTTCTACGTTTGGATTTGATTTTGGGGCCACTACTAGTTCTCCAGGCAGACGCAAGGGTTCACCGTAGACCAGCTCTGCGGCTGATGTTTTTAAGTCTTCCTTTACTGCGCTACGCATGCCAAGTAAAACTAAAGGCAGTGCCCTGAGCCATGACTCACCATGACACATCAAGGCAGTCTTTAATTGTCGATGCATACGTTCAACCATACCGTTTGAACATGGATGGTAGCTAGTAGTCCTTATGCGTCGCGTCGAAATTAAATTCATTAAGCGGTGAAAAAGGTCTGATTCAAATTGGCGTCCTCGGTCCGTGGTGATGGTTGACGGTATCCCGAATCGAGATATCCAACCTGCTGTCAACGTTTCTGCTACATCTTGTGCTGTTATAGATTTCATAGGCCATGCTTCAGGCCAGCGGGTGAATCTATCCACTGCTGTTAGACAATATCTAAACTCTTTGTTAAATGGAAGAGGTCCAATTATATCAAT